TCAACAACTTCGAGCCACCTTAATGCATGCACATATATACAGTACGGGCTCGATTTGCGCAACCTAAAGGAAATTGGGGTTGTTGTAATTTGCGAAATGTTGCAATGACCAACCACTAAAATTCCATACAATATTATATAATTTTTTGTCAAAAGCAAGAAATTAATTAATTTTTAAGTAATCAATTCATTTATTAATCAATAAAAATAAAACTAATATATTACTTATTATATATAAGTTGCACTTATCGCGTCCATTTTTTGAAAAAGTGGCTTTTATAAAGACTGTAATGTTAAAAAATCGGTCAGTCGCAATAATAGGTAGTTGCGCTAATCGAGCCCGCACTGTACTTTCGTCCTCCGTCAGAAGAAGTACATGTATCATTCATATTTTGATATCATACATATATTTTATAAAAGTTTTTGGAGCTGCACTAATATTGGCATTATGATTTCGTATCGAAAACTGCCGTATGTATTTCAAATCTGACTTTATGTATATAATTCTACATGAGAATTTAATGTATACGAACTTAATTTGATAGAATTTGGATGCACTATAATAAGAGCAAAAGAAAAATTGCAATTTTTTAACAAAAAAAAAAAAAATTATATATAATATTCAGTGCCCTTAAAAAATAGTGTTAAAGTTTTTTATTTGTTGTAACCCGTCATCAAGCTAATAATGTTTATTTGAGGGTTAATAATTTCCCATCTAACAAAGGTTTTTTTCATCATCACCTCCAAATTTGTTAAAACTCCACCAAAGTTAAAGTATCTTCTCATCTAAAATTTAAAGTATCTTCTCATCTAAAAGGTTAATGATAGAATTTTTTGCCGCATTTTTCTTTGCAAAAAGCATATTTTGATTATGCGTAAAGAAATTAATACTAAATGCTCCTTTGGAGAATTATGAAAGTGTGAAATTAGGTCCATTTTTATTGGTTATTCCTATAATATCAATTATTAAAGTATGATTTACTATCAATTCCGCTCTGTAAAAAATGTCGCTCAAAATCAGTGGTTTCCGCCTTATAGTATACGCACAATTGGTACTAACGATGAATTTTTCGGAACGAATATTCGTCGTCAAAATTAGGGTATATAAAAATGTACACAATCATTGCGTATGACGAAATTCGTCGTACGTAACGAACTATGCGATAGGTTTATTTCTATTTCTTACACAGACGAACTTTTTAATTAATTGGGGAAATTTGTTTTAAAACCAATTCCGGTAGCCCGAATTTGCTGAAATTCGGTGGTTGTGAATACAGCTAATGACAATACAATATTATGTTCGAATATTCGAAATTATGTTCGAAAATTCGAAGTTATGTTCGAAAAATGTTTTATGCTCTTAAAATAATCTTTGGGTCAAAAAAACTAAAAATAAAATATTCGAAAATTCGAACCAGTTCTCGTGGTTCGAATTGTCTGAAGTACACTTGATGACACTACAATACTATGTTGGAATATATAAAATTAAGTTCAAAATTTCGAAGTAATGCTCGACAAAATTTTGAAGCTGTTAAAATAATCTCAAAATTGGGGATATTCTTTTCTTTAGTTCTTTTCGAGGCCAATTTTTTACATTTTTTAATTTAGAAATAATGTTCGAATAAATTTTAAAGCTGTTAAAATTATTTTTTAATTTTAATTTTTTGTTCCTTTTTCTTACTTTTTCCAATTACGAACAAACAAATTTTGAAACGGATTCGCAGTACGAATAATTTGATTGTGTTCCATTCGGCGAATTTACGCGAATTTTTGTTGACTAGTTCGTCGTGCTATACGAAATTCGTCGTTCGTCCAAATTGTGCGTATACCATCAGATATGCAGATTATTTGAATTTTAAAACAATTATTGCGGCATTGTGATCACCAGTGTTGCCAAAACCTAATTGCGAAAAAGTGCTAGATTGTTTTGAAAAAAATTTTAAAAAGTGCTAACAAAAATAAGTTTTTAACAGTCTTATGCAAAAAAAATTACAACATGCTTACTAACCGTTGTTAAGCTAAATTCGATAAAAGTATATCCAAAAATGATAATTAGCTTAAAATACCTGTAGTAAACCATTGTTAAATATACGAAAGTTAATAATGGTTCAACCGTACTTTAAACCTATATTAAAGTCAAATATCATTATTTTATTACAATTTATAACTGTTGACGTTTTGTGAACAATATTGTTGTGTTAATTTTTTAAATAAATTATAAAAAAATAAATAAATAAAAAACAATATGGACACACTTTTCCTTTTATTTTCAGGCTTTGTCTCCATATTTTTTCTTTTCTTTTTGCCAAAAATATAAATTTTGTTTATAAAATAGTTTAGTGATGTGTAAAATATCAATGCAAATTTAAAGAAAACGTTACTCGATTACTTTCTTTAATCAAAATATAATATTGCAATTACATTAGTTGTTTTATTTGATTTATACGTTGTTTTTATTAAATAAACAAATACAACCCCATTTCTATGTTATTGAAAACAATTATTTTATATAAAAGCATAAAAAAATAATATTAGACACGAATACCAAATGAACTAATAATCGTTCATATACAACATTATGAAAATATTGACAGAATAAAATAATGGTATTGCCAGCATCAAATCTAAAAAAACATTAAAATGTATTTTAGTTAAAATACTGTTTTTGCATATACTTTTTTAATAATGGATTATTAAGCTAAAAGTCGTTGTTAACTAATGTACACTTTAAGGTCATAATAAGGTTTTTTTGCACAAGACTGTAAGTTTTTAAAATAAACTACATAAATAATATTTTTTAGCTTAGTACGCAATTGGACCAACTCCACTTATTATGGGTCGATTTTAATACAGAACAAAATGTTTATAATAACTAGTTTTAGAGTTTTTCGATTCTTACTTTACTACGCAAACGTACCAAATCCACTTATTATGGGATGATTTTAATAAGGAATTAGAAATGCTTATTCAATAATTTTTTTTTTAATTTTTTTAGATCGGAAGTAAACAACCAGATTCTAGAACTGCGACATTGCAACTAATAATATCGCCATTAATTCTCGAAACAGTTCTGTCGAAAAATGTTGTGTTAAAAAGTTCCTATGAAATCATTTCTTTCAATATTTCCATTGTTACAAATATTTACATTGGGATACTAGTCCAGATTTTAAAAACAACTACTTCAAACCAGCAGAAAAATATTTCGAATTTATTGTAAGAAATTTTAATTATAATTGACGGTTTCCAAAAATTGATCCCAATCTCAACAATTTGAATCATAAATCGCTGGAATAAGATCTAGTTCTAAAGAAGGTGTATATGTTCCCTAAAGCTTCTCTAGAACTAATCTGAGGATAGTAAACTCAAACTAGTTCCAGAAACGTTACATTGAAGGAGTTTGTTGATGCAAAATTTTTTAGTTGTGAATATTTTTGAAATTGTTTTTAAAATTATAATTATATTTTTAATTACAAGTCTAAAGTGAAGAGACAAATGAAATCCTTTGTAAAGGATATTACAATTCAAAAATTTTTTAGAAATGTATATTGAATATAAGATTTTAGTTTAGCTTTGTGCCTTTTTCCATAGCAAGTGGCCCTTTAAAATGTAACTTAAGCTCATGTATGTATGTATGTATGTATGTATGTATGTATGTATGTATGTATGTATGTATGTATGTATGTATGTATGTATGTATGTATGTATGTATGTATGTATGTATGTATGTATGTATGTATGTATGTATGTATGTATGTATGTATGTATGTATGTATGTATGTATGTATGTATGTATGTATGTATGTATGTATGTATGTATGTATGTATGTATGTATGTATGTATGTATGTATGTATGTATGTATGTATGTATGTATGTATGTATGTATGTATGTATGTATGTATGTATGTATGTATGTATGTATGTATGTATGTATGTATGTATGTATGTATGTATGTATGTATGTATGTATGTATGTATGTATGTATGTATGTATGTATGTATGTATGTATGTATGTATGTATGTATGTATGTATGTATGTATGATTGTAACTTTTAACATTGGGGAATTATTTCATAATAAAATAAGTCCCCAAATTTGAGGACTTATTTTATTTTTGTTTTGGGGAGTTATTTCATGACGCCTTTACAAACGTAAAGTCTAATGAAGAAGTAAAATGAAGTTCCATCCATATTACAAAAAAATAGAATAAAAGTCGTGTGATTTATATATATATTTTGTGTTTACATGATTGGTATAAAACAATAACAAAGTAATAAAATAGAAACAGCTGTTTTAGTTTTTATACCCTACACCATTTTAATGGGGAGTGAATATTGGGTTTGTGCTGATGTTTGTAACGCACAATAATATTGTTTTTGTCGAGATACGAGTATATTAAACATAATTATTAACTTAAAAGTCCTATTCGTCCGGTTCAGTTGTATGGGGGCTAGGTGAAATAATGGACCGATGTTTACCATTTCCAACAGGCTTCGTCTCCGGTGACTGTTACAAAAAAATGTGATTTAGTTTTCATAATAAAGCATTTAAGTTGAATTGTACCTTGCTTCAGATATACTTAAGCCATTTATTGTTGAATAAAATTATGGACATTTAAGTCGAATTTTGAAGGGGGCTTTGAATCTTCAAAATTGCGACCTGTAGTTTAATTAAAAGGTTTACAAGCCCTATTCAGGGGTTCAGTTGTATGGGGGCTAGGTGAGATAATGGACCGATGTTAACCATTAGCTAAATCGACTAAGAAAATGATTCTAAGCCGATTGGTATACTTTAAGGTGGGTATAGGACCAATATTATTGTGCGTTACAAACATCAGCACAAATCCAATATACACTCCCCACTAAAGTTATGTAGTGTATAAAAAGAGAAAAATATATTGGTGGATGCTTTTTTAAACAGCAGTTACTGTTGAATATAATATAAATTATAGTACATAAACCCTTTTAATATAATTCTTTATTTGTATATAACAAATAATAGTGGAACGTATTTGATTTATGAAAATGGTGATATAAACAAGCCTAGACTGAAGGAGCGAGAATGGAAGAATAACAAATTTCATTTTGACGATGTGGCAAAAGCAATGTTGACTTTATTTACGGTATCAACGTTTGAAGGATGGCCCAAGTAAGTATTACTTTTAAACGTTTTTATTTATTTAATCTGTAGTAATATTTATGCCCATTTTAATCACTAAGAACTAAGTTGAGTTGCAAAACTGCGAAATATTGCTTGAAATCAGGCCTAAAAGGGATCCAAACCCTTTTCGGTTCGAGACCTTCTCAAGAACTAATTAGACAATTTAACAATTTAGAGTATTTTATTTCACTATATTTAAATTTTTTTGAATGTGGGACCCCTGAATCAGTTGCCAGAATCCATACGGTCAATAAAGTGTTGAAAAAAATAATTTATGATCTCCATTTTCAAAAAATAATATAAGAACGCATTTTTAAAAATCTTTCGTTATGTCCCTATTGTTATTCTATTCTATTATTATTTTCTAATACCAACCCAGCATAAACTCGGTAATGGCTTGTACTTTTCACACACGCAGATAGGAAATGGTGTTTCTGTGTGAAAAAAATTATTGGACGCACATTGTCAGTAAGACAGCGAAGTAACGAACAAGAAGCCCTGTACCCCGTTTCTGTAACTTTTAGTGAGAAGTTCTCACACCGAGAAGTGCGAAACAAAAAAATCACTGGTTTCTAGATTTTTGTTTCGAAGTGTTTCTTTAACTTAAAGTAAGAAGAGGCAGCACGATTTACGTTTTTATTGGAAATTTCTCAAAAAAAGCAGCTGTTAAAAACATAAAAATAAAAAGAAGAAAACAACAATTGTCAAACAAATTTATAAACGAAGATTAAATAAACAAACAATATAGAAATTAAATTGAAATTGTAAAAAAATCGCACCAAATTGTCCCCGGGAAAATTCTAAGTATATGCCCACGTACTTTTCCATCTTTTGCTTTTGCATAATCGAAATTCTTCCTATTTTCTAAAACATATTAATTTTAATATCAATAAATTATAAAAACAACATTACTTTTTCTTTATTTCTTAAATTTTTTTCTTAAAATTTTACTTTCTGTACCCTTTTGAAATGTGAATTTTTTTGACAGTTCATTTCTTACAAAATTTTCTTACAGAAACACTTTTATTCAGAAATTTTCAATAACTTACGTCAAAAAACTTAAATGACAGATAGTTCTCACATAAAGAGATTACAGAAACACTTGCATGTAAGGAATGACATTTTGTTTCAATTTAGGTACATAGTTTTTTCTTCAATGAACTTTTTAACTCCTAATTTGTAAGCACTTTTTTTAGTTTTCAATGAAAGTTTTTGCTGGGAATGAAATAGGGAAGAACAAAAAAAAAAAGCAATAAAAAAGTAATATATTAAAGAGTTAAATACCGTATAAATATTAATTTAGTGGTTAATTTTATATAATATTATGTTTATTAACCAAAACATTTAACTTTTACAAATGTATTCTTTGTTTTAAATAATCTATTCTTTACGCATTCTATTAGCCTTCTTTATGTATCAATCGACTCAAATAAGGAAAACGGAGGACCGATTCATAATTTCCGGCCAATAGTTGCTGCTTATTATATTATTTATATCATTATTATTGCCTTTTTTATGGTTAACATATTCGTCGGTTTCGTGATTGTCACATTCCAAAATGAAGGAGAGCAAGAGTACAAAAATTGCGAGTTGGATAAAAATCAACGCAATTGTATAGAATTCGCATTAAAAGCAAAGCCAGTGCGTCGTTACATACCAAAGCATGGCATACAGTACAAAGTGTGGTGGTTTGTGACATCATCATCATTTGAATACTCAATATTTGTTTTAATCATGATAAATACCGTAACATTAGCCATGAAGTTCCATAAACAACCTGAGTATTATACGGAAATATTGGATGCATTAAATATGATATTTACAGCTGTATTTGCACTGGAATTCGTATTTAAACTGGCAGCATTTCGTTTCAAAGTAAGTTTTGTTAAATATTTTTAAGCTATGTAGTGTAAAACATCCTGCAAAATACATACATGTATTTTCCAGTGGCATAGAAGTACAATAAGTCTATATTCGGCCTTTGCATAATCTTATACAAAATATTAATTTTATAAAGTTTCAAATTATTTAATTTTTCCCGACTCTAAAATTACTTTAGCAATAATACAACAAAAACATCAACAATTTACGACAAATGAAAAAAAAAAAACAAAATGCATTTTTGTCAAAGCATGCAAAAAATTGTCTTTTTCGATGAAACAAACGGAGTAACAAACTTATATGTAGGTGAAGGGTATAAAAAGAGGGAAATAAGTAACTTCTAAACGGTTTGACCTACTTCTAAAACTTAAAATTTAATAATTATTTTTCAAGCAAAAATTTTTTTCCTCAAAAATAAAACTTAATGTTAAGTTTTATTTTCTGTTCAAAAATAAAACTTCTTTCTTGAATTTATTTTTTGCTCAAGAAATACTTATTATTTTTGAATTTTATATTTTTCATAGAAAAATAAAAATAATTTTTAAGTTTTATATTTTTGCTTGAAAAATAAAAGTTATTCTTGAGTTTTATATAATTTTTTCAAAAATAAAACTTAATATGAAAATATATTCCTAAGCTACGTTCAGACCTATCAAACATTTGATGAGAAAGACGTAACCACTAATTTTTGTAATTCTTTTTTCGATTCTGCATCATTTTTGTAATTGCAAATATTGTCGAAACAAATAATAAAGACGTTCTGAACTGATGTCGTCAAAGATATATTATGTTTATGCAAATAAATATATATTTTAAGGAAATCAAAATGTAGATTTCTTAGGGGTCACGTCATTTTCGTCAAACATTTGATAGGTGTGAACGTAGCTTTACAAATATAAATGAAATTTTGATTAAAATGTTATTATAACATTATTCTTTATTACAATTAAAATTGTATCGAAATAATTGGAGCATTAGGATGATTTTCGAAAGAGTGCCTTTTATGACACTTAGGTTATTTATGTACCGAACTCTGCGTTAAACTAACCTTTTCAAATGAGACCAAATTTTCGCCACATTTTACATATACTCTTGGATATTATTTGATTACAATCCTAATATATATTATAAATTTCTTTGCAAGTGCTGAACTGAATGAATTATTTTTCAGTGTTCATAAACTCAGTTTCCTGAACGTAATACCTAAGAATCTTCCAATCTGTGTTAGTCAGGAATGCTATTTCCGGAATAACATCACTTCCAAGATACTTGGATCTAACTTCTACGAATGCCTGGCAGTGGCAAAGAAAGTGCTCCAGAGTTTCACTGTTCTCTCCACATGATCTACATTCGTCTGAATCCGCACGTCCAATTTTGCATAGATGTGCTCGTAATCCTGTGTGTCCACTCAGAATACGTACCATCATACTAACTTCAGACTTGCTCATTTTGAGGAGATTTTTCGTCTTGCTCTCATCAGGGTCACCCCATAGGATCTTCGTGTTTCTACTCACTGTTTCATTATTCCTAGAGGCCTTATGGGATTCTTTCACCCATATTTTTAGTTCAGCTTTTGTTGCGTCGAATGGTTTCACGTTTGTCAGGTTAACTGCCTCGAGCTCCCTACCTTTTAAAGATATTACATTCGCCCTTTCGTTACCGACTACTCCCAAGTGGGCTGGTACCCATATGATGTGAACCTTACCTCTGGGAGAGTATTCAGTTAAAGCTTTCTTACAATCTAATACGGTCTTAGATTTAGTTATATCACCTGAAATCGCCCTAATTGCCTTCTGGCTATCGGTAAATATAATAAGCGCTGTGGGCGCCAGATTTATTCTAATCCAATTTACGCATTCAATATAGAACCCCAATTGAAGATGGGTGGAATATCAAGCAACGTTTCCAGAGCCTTGGTTGAAGTAGTACACATGGCACCACTTGTACCTAAGCAGCATGTACGCTGAACTCCCTGTAGTAGTTTGATATTGCACTTTTTGTCTAAAGCAGTCCACCAGATTATTGAAGAATAAGCTAGAATTGGTCCAATTACACTTTTATAAAGTCAATTTGTCATAGTAGGACTAAGACCCCATTTCATGCCAACAGTTCTCCTACATATCGCCCAACAGCAATGTGCCTTGTTGATCCTATCCTTTATGTGGTGTCTCCATTTTAATTTCCGGTCAAGGATTACACCTAAGTACTTAACTTTGTCTGTCACTGGTATCTTCTTGCCCAGGAAGCAAGGTTCAGTATGCGTAGAAATTTGTGTCTTTCTTGTGAAAAGACAGATTTCCGTTTTTGCCGGGTTAACATTGAGGCCTCTCGGTTGAGCCCAGCTCAAGGCTGTATTCGGAGCCTCCTCAGCTGTTCTACACAAGTAATTTGGATCCTTTCCCTTTAAAAGTATTACGACATCGTCTGCATAGCAGACAGGTCTAAGTCCTTTCTCGGTTAGGGTCCTTAGGAGGCTATTAATCGTGGTAACCCAGAGTAAAGGTGACAAATTCCACCCTGTGTTATGCCACGAAATACCTTTTTCCTGATAGTTATATCGTAAATCTCGCAGCTTATCCATCTGTTCCTTAGCATGTGATTGATCCAGTTACGGAGCAATCATATTATCGACTATCCGTTCCAAGGTTTTAAGTAGGAATGACGTAAGACTTATCGGTCGATAAGACTTAGGTGTTGAATAGCTAGGTTTCCCTGGTTTAGGTATAAATATTATCCCTTGCATCCTGCCATTTAATGGGGGTATATATGAATTTCAAGCATGCAGTAAATATCTGAGTCAGATGTACGGAAACCAGTCCCGCCTCCATCTGTAAGAGTGCCGGGAAAATGCCATCCGGCCATGCAGCTTTATAGGGAGCGAAGCTCCTGATTTAACCATATTATTAGCCTTCCCTTCCTCCAATATCGGTTCATTTATGTTATCCGATATACCGGGAGGGAAATGAGAGCCCATTAGGAGTTTCATTGTCTCATCCATATCTTCCGGCCTCCTGCCCGTATCATCGACCATATGGTTACTGAAAAAATTTTCAGTAAAAGTTAAGTAAGAGTTTAAAACTTGAGTAAGCGGTTTGTGGTCTGTATAAACAACAAAAAGTCTCCCTTCCAAAAAATGTCTAAAATGCTCTATGTTCAAAAATATTGCTAATAACTCCTTATCAAATGAACTATATTTCACTTCGGAAGGCGTGAGTTTCCTCGAATAAAATGCTATAGGTTCAATTTGATTGCCTATTTGATGTTGTAAGACTCCCCCGATAGCTATGTTTGAAGCATTTACAGTCAAAGATAAATTAGCGTCGGGAATAAAAAAGTTTGTCGCTTTTATTGCTTTAAATACGTAAACAAAAACCATATGTTTTTTGAAAGCTGAAAATAAAATAAATCTTAATAATATGAACTATTCAGTGTTTTTTTTTATTTAAAATGAATGAAAATATATTATTGACCGCTTGTGCAGTAAATTTAATGTTTTGTTTATAATTTTTTTATTTTTTCGGCTCGAGAAATAATAATTTTGGGAAAAATTTCATGCGAAAGAAGTGGTGCTTATGTTTTTTCGTAAGTTGGAAAACAAGGTTGCCAGATAAATTTAACAATGTTTTTCACAATAAAAACAGAGTACTGCTTTTGAGAAATTATTTCGCAAATATTTCATACCAAATATTTTATATGTAGTTTGACAGCATTTCGCACGAAATTTTGAACAGAGTACCTAGCTTAATATTAAATTATTAATAGAAAAGAGAGTAAAAGAGATCAATATGATAACAGTTGTATGAAAATTTTAGTTAAATATAATATTTTTTTTACTAATAATGCATTTTGGTTGAAAATTTTACTGATTACTGAAAAAAAAATTCAGTAAGATTTGCATTACCAGTATTTTTTACTGTTTATTGAAATTTTTTTCAGTATTCAGTACAATTTTTCTGAATAATGTAATTTTTTTCAGTAATCAGTAAAAATTTACTGAATACTGAAATTTTTTTCAGTAATCAGTAAAGAAATTTTTTGCAAAAACCAGTAAAAATTTACTGATTACTGAAATGTGTAATGCAGTAAAATTATACTGCAGTGTGCACATGTATGCTCCAGATAGGTATAAGTTTGTTTTCTTATGATATATTAATGTATGTACATATCTATAATAAAAAGTGCAAATATCTTATTAAGTAATTCACAATATTTCCCAAAATGACATTTTTCAACTAAATATTATAATATTTTAAAGATTTCCACAGATTTCGGTTAACCGGAAATAAAGGAAAATTAGTACATACTTTTTCTCTAAGTGAATGAATATTATTTATTATTATTATATTATTTCACACGAGCACACAAGTAGTATGATCTGCAAAATTTTGTGTAGAAGGATGGGATCGACAGAAACTCGAAGGTTTCAATCAAAGAATAAATAAGAAATGAAACTGTTGTCAAAAGTACCTAAGTCTACTGTCATCCGGTACCTAACTCTAAGAATGTATTAGTAGAATTCTCAAGTCTACATAGTTGCAAAAAACCGTATTGAAAAATATTGAAAAAAAATATTACATTTCAATTTATACTTTGAAAGGTTTCTTAAGATATTTTCCACATATTTTATCTACAAACATTATATAAACACGTCTATTTGTTTTTTAATCTATAATATTGAAAAAATAAATTATTTATTTGAAATATGTTTTTCGTTTACCATACGAAAATTTACAACATTGTTTTTTTTAGTTTTAATTTCAACCAACAAAAATTCAATGTCAAAAAATAAAAAATATTTTTTTTCGTTTGTAAAAAATATATTATTTTCGGGCTATTAAATGTGTTCAAATTGTGCAAAAAAAAATTATAAAATATAATGTTAAGTGATAAAAAATATTTCAAAGTGCTATTATCCTCAAATTTTCGCGAAAAAGTTTTGAAGTTTGGAGAGAGAATAAAATTTTTACATATGGGCATTTCCACCGAAAAGTCCA